AAAAGACACAGGAAAAGAAAAAAATGTTATTAACACATCTTCCTAATAATACCTTTTATCAGTAGCATGCTTTTAGTTTACAAAACTCAATACAGTTCGGGGTAAAAACATAGAATCTATGGATATCTGGGCCCATGCTCCTGCTTTACTGCTTATATGTTATCTAAACATGGACAAACTGTTTGGTCTATTATGGATGCAGTTTCCTCATATGTAAAACTGAGGGTGAGCTTTCATGCCTATATCTTGGCACTTAGCACATTGTAGATGCTCAAGGAAGATGTGTTGAAAAAATGAATAAAATGAATTAATGTGGAAACAGAGCCTCATACACCCAGTAAGAGACACGGAGACACAATTCAAGTAACTATACCATGTACTGTCTTTACTAACACCTTGCCTCTCATAAAGAGGAGTCAATAAACAATAGTTCCTTTTTATTCTCTCACCAGGCACGTATCCACTGAGCACAAACTTTGCTTTTGCATGATGAGATGAATGCACAAAGTCTTGTAATGGATTATTATCTTGACTATCTAGGTTGAATACTTTAGAGATGAAGAGTTCATGGAGCTTGTTTACAGTTCAGTTCCGCAATGCTCAATGGAATGTCTCCCAAACCCAAAGAAACATGGCCAGAGAATTTGTCTCTTAGTAACTCAGCCTCAAAGGTTGCCAGGGTTCAGAACGAAAACTGAAGGTGATCATGTTGGCAGGGGGTTTTGCATGCTTCTTTTATTAGGTGGTATTATGGCACAGCGGTGCTGCAATGGCAAGATGCTTAGGACTGAGGGGTAGCTTTGGTAGAGGGTCCTTGTGGAGAGGATAGACCAGAAATCACAAAGCCATGCCAATTTTGTACACAAAATTTACACCGTGTCACCCAGGCTGGAGTACAGTGGTATGATCTCGACTCACTGCAGCCTCCGCCTCCTGGGTTCAAGGGATTCTTCTGCCTCAGCCTTCCGAGTAGCTGGGACTAGAGGCACATGCCACCAAACCTGGCTAATTTTTGTATTTTTTGTAAAGACTGGGTTTCATTATGTTGGCCAGGCTGGTCTAGAACTCCTGACCTCGCGATCCACCCTCATTTTCAATCTACTTACTCACTTAACTGTTTGTGACCCCACCCTACTTATTCTAACAGAAAGGCAGGTTTAAATCCAGTTTGCATCTGTTAGAAACAGTATTATTTCAGGTCCTGTATTTATCTTCTCTTTCAGCTTCCTCATCTGCAAAATGTGGTTAACAATAGCACCTACACTCAAAACCAGGGTGACAATGAAATGACATAATTTATGTACAGTGCTCCCTCTTGTGCCTGGCATACAGTAAGTACTCAATAAATGGCATGTACGATGATGAGAATGATGATGATGAATGTTGATACTGGTGTCAACTTGTTCCCTAGGAGAGAGTGTTTTTGTTCACCGTGTCCTCGCTTCCTGGCCAAACCGTATTTATCCTTCAGTAGCCAGCTGAGATCATGTCCTCAAAGGTCTTTTTCTTTTTTTATTCATTTAAAAAACTGTTAGTCGTTTATTCCTCTGAGCTCTGGTTGGTCATTTTCTGTAACTGCATTTTAGCCCTTACCACCTTGTGTTATACTTATAGGCACACTTCATTTATTATACTTCACTTTATTGAGATTTGCAAATATTAAAGTTTTTACAAATTGAAGGCTCGTGGCAACCCTCAGCCTAGCAAGTCTGTTAGCGCCAATTTTCCAACAATATGTGCTTACTTCATGTCTTGGTATCACATTTGGTAATTATCAAAATATTTCAAACTTTTTTTTATCATTGTATCTGTTATGGTGGTCTGTGGTCAGTAAACTTTGATGTTATTATTGTAATGATGTGGGGGCACCATGAACTACACCCATATAAGATGGCATGGACACAGGGAGGGGAGCACTACACACTGGGGTCTGTTGGGAGGAAAGTGGGGAGGGATAGCAAGGGGTGGGGAATTGGGGAGAGATAGCATGGGAGAAATGCCAGATATAGGTGAAGGGGAGGAAGGCAGCAAATCACACTGCCATGTGTGTACCTATGCAACAATCTTGCATGTTCTTCACAGGTACCCCCAAACCTAAAATGCAATAAAAAAAAAAAAAGATGGCAAACAATCTATAAACGTGTGCGTTCTGACTGCTCCACTGACTAGCTATTCCCTTTCTTTCCCTTTCCTCAGGCCTTCCTACTCCCTGAGAAACCATAATGATGAAATTAGGCCAATTAATAACCCTACAATGACCTCTAATTGTTTAAGTGAAAGGAAGAGGCACAGTTCTCTCACTTTAAATCAAAAGCTAGAAGGCACGGCAAAAGGCAAGACAGGCTGAAAGCTAGGATTCTTACAACAGTTAGCCACATTGTGAATGCAGAGGAAAAGTTCTTCTAGGAAATTCAATGTGCTGTTCCAGTGAACACATGAATGATAAGAAAGCAAAACAGCCTGGTGCTGAATGAAGAGAGTTTTAGTGGTCTGGATAGCAAATCAAACCAGCCACGATGTTCCCTTAAGCCAAAGCCTAATCTGAGGTAAGGTCCTAACTCTCTTTAACTCCATGAAGGATGAGAGAGGTGAGAATGCTACAGAAGGAAAGTCTGAAGCTAGCAGAGGTTGCATCCTAAGGCTTAAAGAAAGAATCCATCTTCCTAACATGAAAGTACAAGGTGAGGAAGCTAGTGCTGATGGAGAAGGTGCAGCAAGTTATTCAGAACATCTAGCTAAGATTATTGAAGATGGCTACCCTAAACAACCTATTTTCTTTCTTGTTTTGGTGACAGAGTCTTGCTCTGTCACCCAGGCTAGAGTGCAGTGGTGTGACCTCAGCTCAGTGTAACCTCCACCTCCCAGATTCAAGTGATTCTCATGCCTCAGCCTCCCCAATAGCTGAGATTACAGGTGCACGCTACCACGCCCAACTCATTTTTTGTATATTTAATAGAAACAGGGTTTTGCCATGTTGGTCAGGCTGGTCTTAAACTCCTGGCCTCAAGTGCCTGCCTGCCTCAGTCTCCTAGCATGCTGGGATTACAGGCATAAGTCTCCATGCCCGGCCAACAACCTATTATCAATGTATACAAAATACACTGATATATGTAGAAGTCGATAATTTTCATAGCTAGAGAGAAGTCAATGCCTGGCTTCAAAGCTTCAAAGGACAGACTGATTGACTCTCTTTCATTAGGGGCTAATACAGCTGGTGACTTTAAGTTGATGCCAATGCTCACCTACCATTCCAAAAATCCTAGGGCCCTTAAGATTATGCTAAATCTACTCTGCTTGTGCTCTAAAGCCTGAATAACAGCACATGTGTTTACAACATAGTTTACCGAATACTTTAAGGTCATTATCAAGAACTACTGTGCAGAAAAAAAGATTCCTTTCAAAATATTATTGCTCTTGACAATACATCTAGTCAGCTAAAAGCTCTGATGGAGATATACGTGGAGATTAACGGTGTTTTCTTGCCTGCTGAAGCAACATGCATTCTGCAGCCAATAGATCAAGGCATGAGTTTGACTTTCAAGACTTATTAAGAAATACATTTTATATTGCTATAGCCACCATAAAGAGGGATTCCTCTGATGGATCTGGGCATTGTAAATTGGAAACCATATGGAAAGGAGTCACCATTCTACATGCCATTAACAACATTTGTGATTCATGGGAAGAAGTCAAAATATCAACAGTAACAGGAATTTGGAAGAAGCTGATTTCAAACCTCATGAATGATCATAAGGGGTTCAAGACTTCAGTGGAATAAATCACTGTAGATGAGACAGAAATAGCAAAAGAACTAGAATTAGAAGTAGAGCCTGAGGATGTGACTGAATTGCTGCAATTTCATGACAAAATTTGAATGGATGAGGAGTTGCTTCTTATGGGTGAGCAAAGAAAGCAGTTTCTCGAGATGGAGTCTACTCTTGATGAAGATGCTTTGAACACTGTTGAAATGACAACAAAGGATTTAGAATACTACATAAACCTTGATAAAACGGTGGCAGGATTTGAGAGTATTGACTCTGGTTTTTAAAGCAGTTCTGTCTTATATAAAATACTATCAAACAGCATCACATACTACAAAATTATTTCATGAAAGGAAGAGTCAATTGACGTAGCAAATCTCATTGTTGTCTTATTTTAAGAAATGGCCACAGTCACCCAACCTTCAGCAACCACCACCCTGATCAGTCAGCAGCCAACAACATTGAGGCAAGACCTTCCAGCAAAAAGATTCTAACTCGCTGAAAGTTCAGATGATCATTAGCGCTTTTTTTAGTAATCAAGTGTTTTTAATAAAGGCATACACATTATTTTCTGAGACACACTGCTATCATACACTTAATAGACTACAGGATATTGTAAACATCAGTTTAAAATGCACTGGAAGGCCAAAAAATTGGGGTGATTCCATTTATTGCAATATTCGCTTTATTGTAGTCATCTGGAACCCAATCTACAATATCTCTGAGATATGCCTATATTTGTTTCTATGTCTGTCTTGTTCATTGGGCTGTGAGCCTTTAATTGGAAATAATCTTTAGAAAACTGTGGCTACTCTTGCTCAGCTGCATGAGCCTGCACACTATGTCTCTTCTCTAGACCTCAGATTTTTATGCCTTCCATATCAAAATATGGTGAGAACACAAACAATTTGTCAACTGTAAACCCATCTCTCTACATGATTAAATATGACACCTCATTTGTCTACTTTTCCAGCTGAATATGAAAGATAAAGCAAAGCTAAGAAAGAGAAAAAAAAATTAAAAGAGATGAAATTTCTTGTCCAATTGGTTCTCTCTGTTGCCCATTGCACCGTTTTTTCATGAGTTGCTACGAAAACGCGCTTGTCACTGCAAGTCTCAGCTG